ACAAACAAACAAACAAACAAAAAAAGAAAAAAAACCAAGAGAATTACATATGAGATAGGAATGTCATTTTCATCAGTGTTCTATAGATTACGAAAACAAAACAAAAACAAACAAACAAAAAAACAAAAAAACAAAAAAACAAAACAACAACAACAACATAAAAAACAACAAAAACAAAACAGAAAAAAAAAACAACAGACAAACAAACAAACAAACAAACAAATTTTAATATATATACTCACACAACAACTTCTTTACTTTTTTGAAAAAAATCTCAATAAAACCTCGAAGGATGGGTAGGTTGAATCACACTGTCTAGTAGAGCATTCATTTTTTGACACTGCATGGTACATATGTTGAATAAACTGAAAATTAATCTAACCTGCTACGACTTGTTTTGTTGCTTGTGGATTCAATGTACTGCCTTCTTCTTCTGTTTTTGGTTCTGGATGATATAATAGAGGAACATCAGGCTTCGTTCTGTTGTATAACTAAGGTTATTTTGTTGTTTCTATTGAATTACGTAAACTGTGCAAGGCACACGAAGAAGCCAACGGGATGCTAAGGGAAAATGTTGAACTCCAGCAGAATTTAAGTTTGTACACTTTGCTTTCAAAGGTGTCATGGACACCTTGGCCTTTTAGTGATGATTTATTTAAAACTGAGTGTCAGAAATCGCAATAGAGCGTTTTTACGTGACGTCACAGCGTATCAACTGACATAAACTTTCTTCCTTGCATTTTATTCAAAAACTGTGCAGAAAGTTTCTATTGTTTGGTACACCAATATGGGTGCCTTATCACGTGAGTGAAAACGCTTTATAATATGTACGTAAGAAGTGAAATTAAATGGATATTCGAGATGTCTCAATTTTGACCTCGTTATGATCTATTCCCACTTAAAAGCATTGGATCAGTTTGCCAAAATACTACTTTACTATCAACTTATCTTTTCATATGAAAAAGCTAATTATCATCAATAAAACGATTTTATATATCTATGCCAATGAATGTTTAATGTTATGAAAGTGATCATGAGCACAAGAGAAGAAAATACCAACCTTTTCCAATAGTAACGATACAAGAATTATCCGGATCTAGTTTACTTTCACCATATATATTCCAAGCCGTGACACTAAACTCAAACGTCGTTTGCCACTGAAGATTGAACTTATACCATGTTCTTGTATTAGTGACATTCTCATTGCTCCAAGCTCCTCTCATAAAGTTATTCTTCAAAATACGGTGTTTGACTGTGTAGACAAGGACAGGGGCTCCTCCGTCATCCTTTGGTTCAAGCCAATGGAAGATAGCAACTCGGCTTACTCTTGAATCTTCACGCTTTTCGCAGTCAACTCGTGGAACAGATGGTGGCCCTGTAAGCCAAAATGACTAATTCATAAAGAGATGTAAAAGAATAAAGCATAACCTATTCGTCTACCACACTAGAGTTATATCGAAGTGGCTCGGTTTTCGAAAACGCAGTTTCCTATAGGCTTGCAAAATATTACTTATCACTTATTAAATATTTTCTATTTGCTCACAAACTTTCATTTTTAAACTATTATCTTATCACTACATATCATTAAATCAAAGTTGTCTCTTCGACTTTGCTAAGTTATAATTAAGAGGGAGGAATATGATTTTCTCGATATATAGATATTTTGTCGATTTTGTTAGCAAGCTACTAGAATTTGATTCCTTCTATATAGCTTTTTATAAAAAAAACTGCTCTAAATCTCGCCTTCTGATTGGTTGGGAGCGCGTACTTTATGAGAGCACATAGCACGCGCGTTCGTTTTCTATCTTTTCAGTTGAAAGTATAATCCTTAAGGTTTTCATTGAAACATTATATTTTTATAACATTAACAATATGCGGCCACATAATTTTAGCCACCAATTTACTTTCATGACTCACCAACTTGCTGCAGTACGAATGTTACATAGTCCTTTCCAATCGAATTCGAAGCTTTACATGTATAATTTGCATAATCAAATGAATTTGAAATGAAAATATATAGTTCGTCAGTGTCGCGTTTCTCAAGAATCCCGTTCGCCAGCCATTCGATCTTTGCTTCGGGGTTAGCACTCACAGGACATCTAAGCAACACTCCTCTTCCAATGGGAACACGGACGATTTGGAGATGACTTGAAATGTTAATGATTGGTGCGTCTAGAGCAGAAAAAAAAAATTCTTGTTGTCATTTGTTTTATGTTAAATCGATTGAGAGGATATAAGAGCTGGGGATCAGAGAGATCAGAGGGATCAAAACGAGAAAGTTTGTGTCTTTTATTTTCAAAGTGGCTTCACAAATTAATAGCATCATTTAAAGGACTATTTCGGGTATATACCAAAAATAAAAATGAAAAGGACATGCCAGATTCCTAGAAAACGATTTCGAGTAGTGTGCACATGGTGAAAGCAATTATAAAGTCTTTCCATTACGAAAATAAACTAAACAGATACAAACAAACAATCAATAAAACTAACAAACAAGAAAGAATATACAAAAGCAAGAAAGAAATTTGGCAAAGAGAAGGTGATGCAGAAAAGAAAGAAAGCAGTTTGTAAAAATAGAATTTCCAATGAAAAAATAAATGAATAAAAAGGACTTTGAAAAAGATCACTCACATTGTACGTCGACTGTAGCAATACCAGAGGTAACTTTCCCAACTTCATTTTCAGCAACGCAGTAGTATTTTCCATCATCTTTTCTTTCTGTGCTACGGATCACGTATTGCTCAGTATAATTTTCCTGTACAACCTGGCTATCTTTCAGCCATGTTATCACAGGACGTGGCTTCCCATTTGCAGCGCATGTCAAATTTAAGGTCTTGCCTTCGATGATTGTTGTGCTCTTTGGTGGCTGGGTAATCTTCGGTGGATCTGTTCAATATGAACAATTAGTTTATGAAAACGCCAAGAAAGCGGCAATTTAAAACTTCCAGCTGCGACTTTAGTAGATCGAAAGCCACAATTTATATCTATATTTATATTTTATATATAATACTGCGGACTGCAAGAACGTTGTCATAAAAAAGGAATTAATATAATTAGAAATATATTTTAATGTCTTGATTCTAAACCTCCTTAAATTAATGAAAATAACTGCTGTAGTTTGTGCTAAGGAAAAAATATTAAAAATGCCTGTCCATACCTAATAGTGATACAAATTCTCCTGTTTTTCTTAAAAAAATTATTAATAGGTCTTGTGATTGTTACTGGAAAAAAGTGGATTTCCTTTTTTTTATGAGATGTTTTGCTGAATTACTAGTGTCATATCCAAAAACACTTTTTCCCCCTTATAAATACTTTCGGTTTCAAGATTTGCAGCAGTTTAAAGTTTGTTTGTCATCCAGCAGAGCTTTCCATGAGCTGAATTGATTCGTTATCAAAGTCATATATCAGCACGCGACTGTTGGTTGCAAAAGGCCTACTCCTATCTGTCATTTTTCTATTTGACAACGTCTCTGCAATTAGGTGTATTTATATTTGTATTTTAATTATATAATTCAATATTCAATAAAATCCTAATAATTATAGATTACCTGTGACAATAAGGAGTATTTTGTTTTCCATATTTCTTAGCGTCCCACCAAGTCGAATGGAGTATACAGCTTCATCGTCAAGATTGATTGCACTTAGTACAAATGTAGCTTGTTTTGTGCTTTCTAATACTGTATGGTGTGCATCTGGGTTTCGTATTCCTGTTGAGCAGTTGGTACTTTCGACGTATTTACCCTTTACCTGTTAAAAATAAACGATGGTTTTAATTCGATAGACCCTTTGCAGCACTTTGGAATGCGGCTCGAACTGGAAGACAAAACCATAGGTTCCAATTCTCAGGAGATTGGAATTCTTTTGTTTTGTCCCCCAGATCGAGCTGCTTTGACGTCATATGCAAAGGGTTTATAGTTTGAAAATTATTTGATCGGCACTGCGTAAAGTACAAAAACTCAAAGTATACTCTTTTGTTGTCACCAATTCTTTTATCTTGCACGAATAGCTCAGTGTAAAAGCAAAAACTGACTAAATATAATAACTTCATTCTAGTAAAAATTTGGATTTTTAGAGAATTT